CCAGTTTTTCATTTCCAACTCAATGGTATTGGTTATAAGACCATCAGGTACGGTTTAGGTCACTTTCTGGCGGAGGTCAGGTCAAGGTCAGGTCAAAAAAGGTAAAATTTCAAAGTTGATATTTTTGCATAAAATGGGTATCGATTCGATGCAGCTCGTCATGGGGAGTCTAATGGTGGTCTTTGTTTTGCGCTACGAGGTCTAGAATTGCTAAAAAATTGAGTTTGAAAATTTGACGTCATCAATTTTGAACAGTTTTTTTCGCTATAACTTGGCCAAAAAAGAGGTATTGATCTCAAATTTGGTATGTAGATAGAAGGTGGTAGGGACTTTCACATATATTCCGGTTTTTTCGAAATTCATTTTTTTTGGATTTTTCAGCTATTATTTTCAAAAAATCTATTTTTTTATTTTAGGGGTCAAAATCCAAAAAAAAAAAATCGAAAAACCAAAATAGCAGTTTTGTAGCCTTCTTGATTCCACACCTTTTACGTCTGGAACATTTTTCTGTATCTCTAAAGCTGTAGGCCTGACAGCTCTTCCCGCGAAACCTTTTTTTGGGTCGAAAATGGCAAAAATGACGTCACTCTGCCGTCATTAGCGGCCAACCTATCATAGCCTTTGGAAAAAAATTTGGTCACCATGTGCGCTAGCTACTCCCGGGAGGGTGCTGAAAGTTTGGTGACGATCGGCGCAGCGGTTAGCGGTTCTCTAGATATATCGAAAAAACTAAAGGGGGGGGGGGCAAAAAATGCCCCCCCCCCCTACCGCCTGGAAGGTTAAGTTATTTGCGAGAAGAAAATCTAAAACCCGATCTCAGGGTCTTTGACCTGACCTCTGACCTATGTTTAGGCTTTGCATCGTGCTGGTGAGAGAACTATGGGCATACATTTTACACCGATTATGTATACATTGCGTATTGACTGTGTCATGATGCTGTTCCCAGGTGTGTGGCCGCCGTTGGTGTGCTGCGACTCGTGTCCGCCGGACTGCTACGTCACAGCAACGAGCGACCATTGCCGATCCCGTGGCAGACGACCAGCGGGGACACTTCAGAACAGCCCGGTCTGTGGAAAACCAACCACGGGGGCGCTTCAGAGGAGCCCGGTCTGTGGAAAACCAACCACGGGGGCGCTTCAGAACAGCCCGGTCTGTGGAAAACCAACCACGGGGGCGCTTCGGAGGAGCCCGGTCTGTGGAAAACCAACCACGGGGGCGCTTCAGAACAGCCCGGTCTGTGGAAAACCAACCACGGGGGCGCTTCGGAGGAGCCCGGTCTGTGGAAAACCAACCACGGGGACATCACGGAAGAGTCTGGTCTGTGGAAAATCAACCACGCGGACAACCCAGAAGAGTCGACCCCGTGGCAGACTAGGGGCGCGTCAGAAGACCCGGCCCCGTGGCAGACTAGGGAAACGTCAGACGAGTCAAGCCCCTGGCAAACCAACCCTGAGAGCACGCCAGAAGAGCTCGGTCTCTGGAAAACTAGCCACGATGACACCCTTGAAGAGCCGGGTCCGTGGCAGCTCACACTTGGGGACGTCTCCAAGTCACCGGGTCAGCTCCTGTCCCGATGGAAGGCGGCACAGTCGGACGGTCGACAGATGACCCATAGGGCGGCCCGGCGACAAGATCAGTTGCTCAACTGGAAGCCGGAGCGGTCATCCAGGCGGCGAGTGGAGCCACCCACCAGCGCGCAGCCCAAGGAGCCGGCCAGCTGGCGCCTGGACCTGTCGCACCACGTCCTCTCCAAGAAGGCGTTCACCCTGCTCAGGCGACTGCCTCCGTTTCGCAGCGAGCTCGGAGACCATGAAATCGATCATGACGGCAGACCAGAAAGGGTTCGCAAGCTTCGCTTCGGCCGCAGGTAGCGTTGCTGACCGGTAGTCAAACGGCCCAACCATCAACGGATGAAAGCGCACCATCAGCTTGAGAGATGTTTGATTCTCCAAGCGGTGAGCTGGCATCAGACGAAATGGTTTCGTGCACCTGGAACGTTTCAAGATACGATGGACAGATGTGGATTTTGACTTGAGAACTCCATCTTTGGCTCAGGTGGACTTGTCTGATACCTAACTCGATGCCGATGCCACCAATGATGACCTGACATTCACTGACTTGTTGAATATGAAAAGTGACTCATATTTGATGTCACTACAGATTAATCGAAATATAGCTTAAAAAGTGTATGCCGTTAAAGCGGTTAGCTTAGTTCACTTTAGTTAGCACGCAGTGGCCTGATCGCAACACCCCGGTCCCCGAGACAGGGCGGGATGACGGGAGGGTGGAGGGATTAAGTGTTCCTTCCAACTCGACTCTTGTGTCAACGAGAGACAATCAGTAAGTGGCGTTAGTAGGGTTTTTGAATTACGAAAAAGTACTCAGTTCCTTTTTTAGGTAGGTCAAATGCAAGGCTTCAAGAGATCACCAAAGCAATCGTTCGATCGGTGCAAGCAATGGGTGAGGCGAGCAAGTGATATTTTTATTTTAGGTAAGGTTATTTGACGGTTGACGCGACCCGGTGACCTGACCTAGAGTACCTGAGTGCGAGTTTTCACAAAACGTACGGAAATTATTTAGGTGTGCTGAAAGGTTTGCTGAAACGGTATAGCTAGGCTTAGGTTTGCTGAAACGGTATAGCTAAGCTCCAATTTTATTATGTATACATAAAAAGGGGTGTCGTAATAGTGCCGCTCCCTCCCGACGTCAGTTGCAACTGTATTTCGATCCATAAAATTTAGGAACTGGCTACAACGTTCTTCACGCAGTGCACCCAAGCTGCACCCGGGTAAATAGGAACTGTCAGGTGTCGACCCAACACATTTTTTGCTTCGATATATCTTTACTAAATGTGTTTATAGAAAACGTATGCATAATTGATATTTTAAGTATGCATGAGACAAAAATGCGCAAAGCTGATTCACTTGTAAGCACTTTATCAGAAGCTCTTTGAGGTGCATACACTATGTGCCTAGATGTCTTCGATGGAGTGCCAGATTAACACTCCTCGGTCGATATGGGAACACTGGTGCCATCCGAGACGGGCTTTTGCGATTACTCAGGACGCATTAGCGAAAGAGCAAATTGGAACGCCTGACTTTATTCAAGCCAGATTTTTCAACACCTACCAAAGCTGACCTGACAGTCTGGTCAGGTCACTAACCTTAGACCTACGACGTCATAAGTTAACCACTGCACGGTCAAAAGATGTCGAAATTCGCACCGCTCTGAGCTCTTTATGCAAGGGGAGCTTCCCGAGGGAGACAAAAATGTCAGGAAGCAGTAAGTTCACAACTCCTTACAACTTGTGTATCGTAGTTGTCATAAGGGTCACCTGAAATCAGGGCGATCGCGTGAATGAATTGTTTTGTTTTAATCCATCAAATAGCATGTAATTAACATTTTCTGGGATACCGTGAGGCATAATAATTTTGAACAAAATTTTCGAGTCGGCTTTTTAAGATCAAATGACATGCACTCGACACGTCTCAAAAAGAGAAAAGCGATGATGAACAGGTACAAGAAAAATACACACTGACACCCTACATAGCGATAAGCACAGCCACAGTTAACAGCTACCACTGTGTCATCTGTGGCACAGCTGAAAGGTCGTCATGTTCTACTTAGAGAGCGAAAAAAAAAACTATACATCAGGGTCTCCCCCTCATCATCATCAATCCCCGTGTGATTAGGGCTTGTGCGTGATCGGCAAAACACATCCACCATCAACCATACATGAGAAGAATTTCACAATGTAATATATTGTGACTTCTGACTTATCGCATTTATATGTCTCGAATATATGCACTGATTCATATTCTGCACACAGCAACATCGCGAGATAATACATATTTGACACAATAACCAAGCCATGAACGGAACATTCGGTACACGCTACACACAATATCAGCTACGGATGACCATCACAGACAAGCCTCAAAGCAACGTAAGTAGTTATACAGGGTTAGTGATGGGAATGTAAGAGCCCTCCCTGTTTGCACATTCGCCAAAGCTCTGGACACTTGGTGGCCGCTCCGAGAGGACCGAGCTCGTCGGCCGGTGATCTGCAGTACGGATAACCGGCCGACCGAGCCGCTCTCGGCCCGGCCCAGCGCGCGCGTATTGTTCGTGGGTGGTGGCCCCCCGCGGGACTAGCCACTCTCCTTCTTAGCGGCTTCCTTTATAGAGGAGAGTGTCTTGTGGAACCATGTGCTCTTGGAAGCCTGCAGCTCAGCAAGCGCGGCGCCCATTTGGTGTGTCAGATCCTGAGAAAAGACCAACCACAGTCAACGGTAAGGCAGCAGCCCCTGAGACTCGATGTCAGTGTCGGCTCAGACAAGCACGCAACGGTGCACAATACCTACATGAACAATTTTAAATGAGCTCATGCATAGACCATGTACGAGTAATTTAGGGTTGACCCATCTATAGATAACTTTCATATTTAAGCTCTCTATGACCCCACACTAGACTATCAGATCTTGCACAGAATGGAAACATCAAACAACAAGCTTGTGACAGTTGGTTTACTGAAAACGGTATCCAAAATTCGCTATGTTTCAACGTGTTGCAAAGGAACTGACGTGGAAAAAGTCAATGGGCTGTCAATTGAGAAGCTTCATACCCAACACTTACCTAAATTTCCTTTTGATCTCATATCAGGCCTACAGAATACAAGGTGTCCCAAAAGTAAGGTCATGATTTAAAACTTAAATATCTCGAGAAGTAAGAGTCCGAATCACTTCCAATTTTAACACGTGCAAGGTACATCCATAAAATTATTTTCTTGCATGCTTAAACCATTTTTGATCATAACTACACCGAGCAGTAGGCATAAAACTGAGAAGGTCGAAATTCAACTCTTAAGCCTAAGCTACACTAGCATGAATTTCGACGTTTTTTCGGTTTCTGCGGGATTTCGGTTCGCGTCGTAAAGTTCGCCTCATAGCGAAAGCATTGCGCAAGCTACACTGCCAGTCTGGCGTCCCGTGGAACGAAAACCCGCAAAAACCGACGAGTCGGAACCGAAAAAAAGTTCAGAGCCGTGAACTTTTTTTCGATTTCTGCGGGATATCGTTCCACGCGACATTTTATGGCGCACAGCGGCATTCTTTTGTTTTGTTTACTTCTGCCTTTTTTGAAGTGACAGAAGGTTGAGTAGGTGTCAGTTTTCATCCGATTTGTGTAGATTATAGTCGTATTTTCTGTGTTAAGTTGTTCTGGATATTCACCTACCTACGCATCAGTATGGAACGTGCAATGAGAGATGAAGATGGAGAAATGAGTGGAGGTAATTTGAATGTTGTTATAATCAAATGAAAATCAATCTGTAACCTCACCCTACTAATGTGTTTCACATGAATTGAATTGTTATAATTAAATTAATTGGGTAGTTTGGTGGCTCCAGCATTTCAGTTGCACTGATGGTGTGGAAAATTCAAGGAGAAATATGAAGCTCAAGCTTTGATTTGTATTATTTTTGCACGCATTAACTAAGCACATGAAAAGAATGTGAAATCGCCCTTTGTGAAGTCTCCCGAAATTGCACCTTGGGCTCCATACTGAATGAAGACAACACCATATTGTCACAAACCAACTATCAATCTAGAACATTGTTCACATGATCATGTAAAGCTAAAAAATTAGCTACATCATGAGCAGAAATAACAAAACCTAAGCTAACCTGACCTAATTTTACCAACGTAACATAACCTAGCCTGACAACAGTAGCGGCGGAACACCTTCAATTAAGGGGGGGGGGGGCACTGCTGACTTTTGGTCCCATTCTTTCCATGCAATGCCCATAGGGCTAATGTTAAAATGCCAGAATCAAAGGGGGGCATGGTGCCCTCCCCGTTCCGCCGCCTATGCCTGACAACATGTGGCTGGGTGTTAAGATATAAATGTTTTGTGTAAATAGTAACAATTATAAATGTGTGGTCTTATTCGTCAACCTTGGAAGGATGTGTTTTTTTCCATTTTAAGAATTAAAGTTAATAAATGGTGCAGAAGGAGAAAATCACTAAAATAATTGTTGTTATTAGGTACTGAATGTTTGACAACCTCCAGATCACTGGCATTTCTTTGTTGCAGAAATGGACTTCAACGAATCAATAATTGAAGCAGTCAGGAAGTACCCAGGTTTGTGGGACAAAAAGTCGAAGGACTATGCAAAGAAAAAGACTGTAAAAGATCTTGATTGGCAAAGAGTGGCAGCTGAGTGCAGATGTGATGGTGAGTGCTGACTGCTGGCTACCTACGCAGCTGAGGTTTTCAGTTGATATCACTTGAGCTTGCAATAATTGGTGGTTACATGCCTTGAAATGGGCTTTTTCAAGTACACTATTGAACTTAAATGGTCTAAACATCATAGTCACGAAGAAGAAAGGGTATTTAGATTGAATTTAGAAGATCAAGATACATAGAGATGCCTTTATTGATTGGTTTGGCACAATCAGTGTGTTTTATTTTGCAATATATTATACATTGATATCGATCCAGACTGGAAAGCATCAATGCACTATGCCTGACGCCTGTTAGACCCTCATCCGCTGAAAACTGAAATTCTGCGCAGTTGGTTTTGCGCCGAAATTTCTCTGTTGTTTTAGCCGACAGTTTGATGCCTGTTTGCGCCAAAATTAAGCCGTTTTTATATTCTGCACAGTGCACACCAATTTAGTTCTATTGGTGACATTTTGTTCTGTTGGATGAAATGAAATGGTAACAATACTCTCCTTCCATCATCAGTGCAAGCTGCCAAAGAGAGGTGGAAGTCTTTGCGGGACTACTATCTGGCCAGAAAAAGGAAGACTCTGCCCAGTGGATCAGCAGCACCTGCAGGTGGCCATCAGCACCTAGGACCCTATGGGAATATGCTCAGATTTCTGGACCCCAGCACCCAGCGTGGGCCGTGAGTATTAAACAGATGTGCAATATCCATACCTACTTTGTCCTCCATCCAGCCATCCTTTGACTTTGTCCATCATTCTATATTGTCACACAGGTCAGAATTGACAGTTTGTCATTGTCCTGCTGAAATATTCAAGGTAATAGTTCCATGCATAGTAACTTGGATGTACCTTTTGTTACCATGACCTCCCATAGTGTTTATTTTATATTTCTTATCACTCGATTACTTATGTTCCTTGTTCTGAAATGCAACCATGATTTCCTCCATGACTTCATCAGCTCGCCTGCCTGAAATATGTACTGAAGCCATGTTCTCTCATTTTGTACCCAATGCATATTTCACATCAGTTCCTTTCCCTTATCTGCCGAAACGTTAGTGTGTTTCTATCCAAACTTAATCATCAGAGTTAAGGAATTGCCCCATATTGATTTAACCCGCTCCAGACTGGGGAGAGGGTGGGGGTGGGGGGGGGGGGTGGACAGTGGACACCCCCGAGTGGTTTTTCGCAGATATCTGAAAAATGGCCCCGCCGTTTGTCGCTACGTTGGTCCAGGAGCCGAGACTGGGTGATTTTCAGAACCCCACCCCCGCCGGTCCGGCGCGGTTTTCTCCATTCCACATTCAACGTCCCAAACCTTTCCTTATTTCCATATTTTTTCCTTTTCAGTACAACCTCATCCATGACCTTCCGGCTGGATTCACATGGAGGCGGAGATGATCCTGGAGGTGATCCTGGGGCTGAGACCAACACTCACCCTCACATCCTGTATCTTGAAGATACCCAATATGAAATTGAAGTGACTGAGGAGAACACAGACGACACACCGCACTCACATGATACAACACAAAACACATCGCGCGCTGACTACACTGAAAACACACCGCGCGTTCTGAGCACACGAAACGCACCGGCACAAAACACATCGCGCGCTCACCACACTCAGCACACAACGCGCGCTCTGGGCACACAACACACACCGGGCACACAAGGCACACGGCTCGTGCACGACACAACGCACGCTCTGGGCGCACAAAACGCACCGACACAAAACACGCAGCGCGCCCACCAGACTCAACACACAACACGCGCTCCGAGCACACAACACACACCTGGCACACAAGATACACCGTCCGCTGACGACACACACACACCGCGTGGCCAGGACACACAAGGTACATCGGATACACAAGGTACACCGCGCACCACATCGGGCACACGAAGCAAGCGCAAAACAACAGACATAGACTATGCTATCTTGGAGGAGCTAGATAGGAGCAGGAGACAACAATCTGACAGGGACTACACATTCTGTATGAATGTGTATGCTGAGCTGCAGCACAGGAGTGAGGCCACCAAAAAACTGATCAAACGTGCGTTCCAGCAGATCCTTGATGAATACGAGGACTGAAGGACACCCATAAGTCACTGAGACTGCGACGTGTTTGTATGTGTGGCTGTGGTTGATTTTTTTTTTTTTTTTGTTTAACTAACTGGTGCCTTGACGTTGATGCCTACGTGTGCAGACAACCTGTTTTGCCGTATGTATCTCTATGGATATTTATTTTGTAGCTGACGACGTTTGTTATGTATTGTCCTGGCGTTTATATCCGCAGGGATGAAGGACAGACTGCCTTTTCTGCGATATTTACCTATGGCTGTTATTGTTCAATTTGGAGTTGACAACGTTTGTTTTGTCGTTGCGTTGATAGCCACAGCCCACAAGGACAGACAGCTTTCGTTAAGTCGTCTGTCCCTGTGATATAAGTTGTTCGTTTTGGTTAGCAACAGCCAACAGTAGTTTGTTGCTGACATTCATTCAATACATGGCTTTGCCGTGCTTGTTGATTGTTTTTGAGAGCAATTGCCGGTAACAGTGACATCATCTTTACGATATACACATTCAATCGTAACCATCGTCAGCTTATATTTCAAACTTCACGACACATTGAATCGATGCTTGAATCGTCAAGTAAACGGCGTGAAACAGTCAATCCGTTTCGACCAGGCACTGAATAGTTCAAAATTCAAATCATCACTTTTACAAGAACGGCACATCCAACATCATACCGCTTCTTATGCGCTCTCGCCATGGGAGTCACAGCGGCAGTGGTTACACACACACGGCGTACACGCACACATGATACACCCACAGTTCTTCACTAGCGGCGAATGCTGTTCAGCTGCCAGGGGACACTGCCGACGCCGCTGAAGTACTCGACGTACTTCTCTCGTACTTGGGCCGCCTGCTGAGGGTGATTGTGAGACGCGCCTGCGTCACGTAGGTCACGGAGACCGGGGATGTCTCGTCGCTCTTCAGGCGTGACGTAGCCGTAGGCCGCTGGCCCTCCACGTCTGGTCTCGATGTCCTTCTCTCTCAGGAAGTTATGCAGGACGCAGGTTGCCAGGACGATGAGTTTAACGGCCTCCACGTCACACCCGATCGGACCCCGGAACACCCGCCACCGTTGTGCGAGGATCCCGAACGCGTTCTCGGAGGTCCGACGGGCGCGGCTGAGTCTGTAGTTAAAGACACGTCGTTGGTCGTTCGTCAGGCGCGACCCAGGAAATGGCCTCATCATATGTTGCCGCAGCGGAAAAGCCTCATCTGCCACGAACACGTGAGGCACGGTCACTGCGGAGCCAGGGAGCGGCTCTGGGCCTGGCAGAACAGGCGGCCCGCCGTTGTCTTGGTCCTCCAGCAGCCGACCCAGGTCGCTTCCTCCCCACACTCCCCCGTCACTCTCCTGACCGTGGCTGCCCACGCTGATGTAGCGAAAGCGACACTTCGCGTCCACCACAGCCATCAGCACGATGCTGAAGAACCCTTTATAGTTAAAGTTCATTGAGCCACTGTTGGCAGGCTTGTCGACCATGATATGCTTTCCATCAACCGCCCCACAGCAGTTGGGAAACTGCCACTCCTCCTCGTAATCCAGGGCGTGCTGGCGCCACTGCTCGGGCGACGGTAGCCCCATCAGCCCTGGTCCGAGCTCCTCCCAGATGGCGCGGCATGTCTCAGGGACGATCAGGCGGATCGTGGCGAAGCCTATGCGGTAAGATTCTGCCACAGACTTCATAGTCCCACCTGACGCCAGGTAACTGCAAAAGGTGTACACATATGTAGTAATTAAAAAATGTCAGTCCTTTGTTACGTCATTGCGCCTATGTCATATTCGTAATTAGTCGATTGGAAATTGAGGCACCTTTTCTGGTTATGCAAGCTTATGTGTTTCATTGAGAATTATACGCGCATTGAAAGTATGAAGAGGCTTCAGGTCTTACCGCAGCGTTGCCGCCAGGCGCTCTGCTGCCGAGATCGGCTTCCTCAGGTGCGTGATCTCCTTCGTGATGACGGGCTCGATCTTGCCGAGCACCTCGTCAAATTCATTGACGCTCATCCTGAAGTAGCGCCGATGGCCCTCAGGATCATTCTGGCGCAGTTCCTGTACTAGCGTGTGGAACTCGCCGCACTCTTCTCGGCGCAACAGCACCGGGCGAACCCACAGGCTTCGTCGCTGTCTCTCGCGTTCACGGCGCAAAAATAAAACTCTTAATAATGTTTGACGATCCATTTACTGCGGCTCAACTTCAACAGATCAGACAATACGACGTACACAAATGCGGCTGCTGCATAGCACGCATTCGCAGAGGCCGCTCCGATTGGAACGAAAAAACGCAGAAACCGAAAAAACGCAGAAACCGAAAAAACGCGGAAACCGAAATCCCGCAGAAACCGAAAAAACGTCGCTAGTGTAGCCTGAGCAAGAGAGGGTCCGTCATTAAAACAAAGGGTAAATACCGCCCAGTTTTCGGACCTAAGCAGACCCTATCAGCTCGCCCACAGACTTCTCTATACATGGACTGTGCACTGATCTGGCCGAAGTAGCATAAGGGGCCCAAAATTGTGGCAATACGTTTGAAGCATTTGCCAGGGAGCATGGCCATTTTTCTTTGAATTATTCATTTTAACGTTCTGGAACCTTCGCTTAAATGGAAAACAAAACATTTTCCGCTATGTTTTCCCGCCAGAATTGCCAATCTTGAGTCAAAATTCCAGGCTGTGGACTTAAATATCAAGCGAAGATCAGAGGCATGCAAGTGTTTCTGTGCATTTTGAGTTGTGTGTTCAATGGTAGGTACTGTCATAAAACAGAAAGTTATTCTCCCAGCTACAAGTGGACTACTTTTCACCATCGATCAGGTTCAACAAAGACAGTTTTGGTTCCCACACGTATGTATTCGTAACGATTCCCAACGGCCAGCATGGGCACAAACACCGATTTGGTCCACTATCCCAGCCCTTGGGCCGATTCTCCTGGGACATCTTGGGCCGGCTCGTCAGAAGAGGCAGCAACAGCATGCTCTGTGATCTCTGTGACGGCTCGCTGGTCGTTTTCCAGGCGTTGATGAGAGACAGGGTGCATGCTACATGTTCTTGAACAGGCATGAACTCAGCTCGCGCCCGTTAGTTTGCGGATCTTGTCCGAGTCCACACCGCGCCCACTGGTGCGGGTCGGCGGCCCCTTTCGTTTCTTGCTATGCACTTGGCTGTTCACATCCTTCACGTGGTTAGACACGAACACGTTAAACAGCGCTCCGGCCATGGTGGCGAGGATATTGCTGGTAAACTTGTGCCCCCTTCCACAAGCCACTTCCTTCAGTTCTTCGTCATCGCCGAGCATGTTCTGAACCACAGATCTGAACACATTCTTGGGACTTGAACTGCCAAAGAGGATGGTGTGAGTCTCTGACTGTGAATTCACCAGAAGTCTGTAGAGCTGGCAGACCTCCATGACGACTCGCAGGCACAGTTCACTCGGTTGCAGGAGCTTTCCACGGTTGAGGAGGTCGGTGAAGCTAGCAGCCACCAGCTTTTCTTCAGCATTCTCTGCCACCACGGTTACCAGTTGCGCCCTTAGCCCGTCAGAGAGTAGCGCGCGACACTCATCACATCTGTGAATCTTCTTGACTGAGTGGGCTAAATAGCCTGCTATGTGGTGCAGAGCCTGCTGTGTCCCTTCTGGGACGTCTTGGGCTGGGTCATCAGAAGAGGCAGCAGCGGCATACTCGGTGATCTCAGTGACGGCTCGCTGGTCGTTTTCCAGGCGCTGCTGAGAGACAGGGTGCATGCCAGCCGTCACTGTGCTCAGACCATAGCCTGAGAGCCAAATTAGGCTTTTTACGCGGACGATAGCCTCTCCTTCAAAAAATTGACGAGAGCTCGCCCAGAAGTTGCCTCCGGCCAGTTTCCGGAGATGGCCGAAGTGACCTTCTAGCCGGTCGGATTGAATCTTGCCAAGCAGGACATACTCGAGATCACACTGTCTGAGCAGATACTTGGCCAGCCCGACCAGCCCTCGACAGGTTGCTGCCACTCCACGTATCGTGTCGAGCGACATTTGCGTCTTCTTGTTTCCCTGGGCTTCACAGCGCAGCATCATCTTTCCGAACTTCTCGATGTATGCCAGCCCTTCTTCATCTCCAGTGGAAATAGGCTGCAGAGTCGAGTCGTTGCGACGAACATGCTTCCCAGGGGACTTCACGTTGACGATGTCGAACCACCTCCGAACTTGGTGCAGGAACTCTGCTGTACCGTTTAAGGAGCCGTACTCTGCATGTTGCCCATAGTAGCGGAGCGCAGCGATGGTTGTCTCGTGAGTGGCTGCTACGGCGAGCTGCACGTTCACGCGCTCTATGCTTGTTGGATGGAGCACCTTATCCGTGAGTCGGTATGCCATCTTGGCATCAGAGCTGTACTCGATGGAGTGTACCTTTTCCAGGTGGCTGAGGTGAACATCCAGAGGAGGCCCACCTGCATCGAGTGGCGGACAGTGCAGTTGTTTTTTGTTCAGGAGGTTGAAGTACATGTTTTTGAACAAGTGGACTGAGTCGTACATGGTGTATATCCTGTCATCACTGTGTGGACTCCAGGGATTCAGGATATACTCCTGATGCCTCCCATCTTCTCCAAGCGCTCGATGGAAGGCTTGGTTTGTTCTGTGTCCGTCAGTTGTAACGGACACTACACGGTACCCAAGATGGGTGAGACATCGCAGGACTTGGAAGAAGATTCTCTTCATTTCTTGGGTTGTGACGTGGGTGACTGGCGACATGGTTACCAAGTCCTCGTAGTTCCCGGCAACCGACGAAATGTGGGTGCAGAACAAGGTACTGGCGACAGCTATTGCTTCTCCGCTGCTCTCCCCATGCAGTCTTCCTCCCGCCAGATCGAGTGCTGTGGCACAGTAAACCTCGTCCATGGCCAGATTTACCAGCCGTTCTCTTGGAGACAACTTGGCGACCCGCATCTCCAAATACTTGATGGTCCCGATCTCCAGTCCCTCTTGCACGCTTAGTGCTGACGTAAGTCTCCGGAGAGTGACTCTGTGTGGCAGGACCAGAAGACCCGAGCTGCGCATGTCTTCATACAGTCGGGGACTCGTTCGGCTCCACACCACTGCAGTGGACATGAGTGTCGTGCTGTACCTCCTCCTTTTTGCTGGACTGAGTCGGAGTTGCAGCTGTTCAGCGGCGAACTCCCCAAAAGTACCGCATGATCCAGCTGCATCGTCCGTGCTGATTTTCTGCAGAAAATGCAGTGCAGTCATCACGTTGCCATCTTTCAAAGACTGTGCCTTGAGGAACGCCAGCACGTTCAGGACCTCAGTCGTCGTTTCGAAGCTCCCGGGAACGCTTGTCAGATCAGCTGCCCTGAGAGTAGGCAACTCGCTCCCGGCTGCGTACAAACGGAAACGAAGATCGCTGTAGATCGTCAGGTTTCGTACGATGACTGGAATACCTTGATCTGTGTCAAATGCCTCCATTCTGATCGTCACAATGT